TTCTAAAATATAAAAATTTATTTTAATATATTTTCTAATGATATAAATATATATACATTAATGATATAAATATATATACAATTATTAGAGTTGTATTATAAATTTTAAATCTAAATGAATAAAAAAAAATAAAAATAAGGGCTCGTCCGGGATTTGAACCCGGGACCTCTCGCACCCTAAGCGAGAATCATACCCCTAGACCAACGAGCCATATTCTCAAACCATGTAAATACAAGATATCAAACTATAATATTATGGTAATTATGTATACCGACTAACACAATAAACATACGTATATATGCACAGGCGTTATCTATATTATTCACTGTGCGATAATTCTCGGTGCGTGGCATATGTTCAATATGGCGGGACACAGTCAGCAAGACTTCAATAGGAGTGCGTTGACGCTCGATAGCGGACGGGTAAACATAATTGTTTTACAATTTTAATTGCACATAATAACATTTAATTGATGCACACGTCACGATACATTTTGATTGAATGCTACCGATCTACATTTTTTGGCTCTTGCACTCTTTGCACTTTTCGTTATTACAATAAATTGAGTTCGATCCACTGCGTGTTATATATCGCAAAAATATGCAAAAAAAAGAAAATGTAGAAAGTACAATTAGAAAGAATAAATCCTATATTTATTGAAATAATTTGTAGCAATTATATTTCTTTTTTTATGCAGTTAATGTATGTGAATCACTCGCGTGCTATAAAGAGCGTATCAAAGATCATGCATTTTTTTTCGTAAATATAAATGTCTTGATTTCTAAAGTTGATTTTCTTTAAATAAATATTTAATAAGAAGAGATCACTGATGACAGCATTTTAATTTTTAATATTAAATATCTTTGTGTAAGTTAAGTATCCCGTATAAAAATGTACTACTAGTGTCATTGCTACTGCATTAGTGTTATTACTGATATTCAATGATGTCACTATTGATATCAATACTATCACTGATATGATAGTATCATTGCTGAGACAGTAGTGTTACTACTGTAGTAGTATATGATGACATATGACATAATGTAGAACTATTTTTAATGTAATGATAATATTTGGTAATCAAAAATTTACTAGAATAAAAAATATACATATATCATTAGAGCAATTAGTATTATTTCAGCTAGTAGAAATAATATTTTACAGTATTATCATCAATATTTTACAGTATTAAATATAATAATAATATTTTACAGTATTAAAATCAAGTTATTATCATAGATTCTTCATTTGTACATTACAATTATATTTAATTAATTAAACATAATTATATAACATTAATTATTTTTTTATACATATTCCGTCTCTTTCATCTTTGACCAGATATGTTACAACTATACATCCATTAGCATTATATAGATGTTCATGGTTCTTCGAAAGAATTCCCACATAATCGCAATCAAGCAGTGCTAAGTGGAAGTACAGATTCGGGTGGATGAGAGCATTATAAAATTAGTTCTCGAATTCATAAAGGAAATCTTTTTTTAACTATAATTTTGTCTTGTATCCTCTGAAATATGATGCTGATCAATAATACTTATTTTCAATAAAAATTCAATAAAATTTTAATGAAATTTTCTCCATTACTACTACTATTACATTACTAGTGACACTACTTGTTAAATTTATTTATTGCACTAGTATATTTTTATACAGGATTATAAATCAGAATTAAAATTCTCTTAAATTTAAATTTTTATTAAATTAAAAATAATAAAAATT